TTTTTTTTTTTTTTTTTTTTTATTTTTTTTTTTTTTCCGATTCACTGGGAAGCGTGTTGCCTCAAAACGAGATACTACTTAACGCATTGAAATATAATTTATGCAAATAGAACACGTACATATAGTGATCGTTACGCGAATTTTACCATGATTTTAATTGATTTTTAATTGTACAATATTGCATACAAGTATGGTATCCCAAAATGGTCTGCATCAATGCAATGGGTCTTTCGGGATTTCATATTTCAATTAATTATATGCTAAACTGCTGTGAAAGGAAATCGTTGTTTTATATTCAACACATTCTTTTCTATAATTAATTTTTTTTGTCACTAACAATTATTCTGCATTTGAGTAAAAAAAAAGAAAAAATGAAAAAAAGAAAAAAAACGAAGAAAGAAAAGTAACAGCCTTTTTGATGCATTTCAAATACCGAATATCTTTTCGTGAACTTTGTGAACAGTTATGGAGTCGATTCGTAATATGTATATTATTTGAATGGAAAAATATTATGATTCGTATATCATAAATGGAATTAAATACTTCTTATGCCTTTATTTTTTGAGGCACAATCGTTCATATTATTTTAGTTTTTGCTCGTTATAGCAACATCTATGGAAGCTTAAAGATAATTATTCATATAATAATTATTCACTATAATTTATGATATACGAGTCAATTATGACGTATGTCAATGAGTGTAATTTTTGTGTTACATCGATTAATTTATGAATGATATTTCTAAAGATACGAAATATTTATAACTCCTATGAGAAACATGTTATAGTTAAAACTAGAATTTCGAATGGAAGCACGCAGTCTACAATATTCGTTTTCTATTGTTAAAACATGGAATCTTGATAAATGTTTTCAATTGTTTATATCATATTTGTCGTATCTAAGAAGTCGATATTAGAATTTATAAATTAAATAGTATGATAAAGAAAATATTTCACTGGAACATTTGATATTTGTAAGAAAAAGAAGAAAATATTGCTGCTGATTATAATGCCTAATTCAATGATGGTGTTCAACTTTTTAATCATAGCATTTCTAATTCATTGAATTATCTCCAGAACTGATACTTTTTATTCCTAGGACTGACACGGAGTAAAAGAAAGTAGATGTATGATAGTGTGGTCTTTGTACATTCGAAATAAATTAAACTATGTTGTTGAAGCTGTATAACATTCTTGGTATACAAATTTATTACATATGTATCTATGTATGTTTTATGTCATACAGAAAAAGGCACTAAAATAGCAAAATAATCTTATCAGCAAGGAATATATCTTAACTAACTAAACAAATAGAGAAAAATTAAGAAGAATTAGGAAAAATAAGTATTTATTCTATACACAATTATTATTAACCATAACAAATGAGCGTAAGGAATCATTAAACATGAAATTGTACCAAATAATCAATGTTAGTAAGAATATATATAGATCCTTTTGTTTCTTTTTAATCTGTTTTTAATGATGACATCGTTTTTTAAGTAGATTAAAATTATTTAAGTAGGGTAAAAGTTTTTAATTTTACAAATAAAATCAAACACAATTAAAAGATATATTTCTTTCATTAAGATTTGAAATTCGATTGCATTATTATTTATACAAAAAGTACTTTATTATATTTGCTACATATAAAAAAGATATAATCAGATAAAGCAAGTTATGTTACTTACATATATGTAATACACAATTAAGGTTGGCATTTTTACTAAAATTAAGAAATACTTTTTGCTTTGGTTCTAAGTCCTAATGCAGGACTTCGTGGGCTGGTTGGAGGCTTGGTTGATTTCATTACAACCAGAGGTTTGTACACTGGCATTGGTCTAGCCTTAAATATTGTCATTTTACGCAGCTCTGTCCTTTCCAATTTTTGTTGTAGTAATCTCTTTTTTTCCTCCTCTAATCTCTTTACTTCCAATTCATGTTCATCTTTCCTTATTTTATCATTGTATTCGTTTCTTTCCTTGGCTTGTTTCTTTGTATTTAATTCAAAATTGGCAACCTTTTTTTGAGTATTTAGTTTCTCATAATTAGTATTTACCGAGTTTACATTAGTTTTAGTTTGTTTTTTGTCAGATTTGGAGTCTACAGTATGATGTTTTGTTTTTACCTTTTTTTTATCCACTAGAATTATCTCAGTGTTGTTCTTTATATTAAGCTGTTTATTTTTTTGGTTACTGGGCATATTTATTTGTTTATTTCCAAGTTCCTTTGTATCATTTCCATTCTTCTTTAAGTTCTCTTTAGATAAACTATGAACTACAATATTTTTAAAGCTTGGTACAGGATTAGCATGAAATACTCGACTTTCTTTATTCATTTCCCGCATTTGTTTCACGCGTTCTTCCATTTTGTTTGCAAGAAATTTATTTCTTTCCTCAAAACTGAAGGGGCATAGAACAACTACTCTTTTTTGTGTATTTTGCTCTTTAATTGTATTTGTTGGTTTTGAAAATTTTGATGCAGGTCTTGCACGAAACTCTATCTTAACTTTATTTGTTTCCTGAATATGTAGGTTTTTTAATTTTTTCTCTTTCTTAATTTGAAACTCTTTGCTTCTTGCTTCAAAACTGCAACTCATTGACTTTATATTTTCTACAACAGATTCTGTACTTGCATGTTCCTTTCTGATAACATTCGAAGCACTCATAGAACGTATAATTGGTATAACTCGTTTGTCTTTAATGCCATTCAAATTGGGCTGAGAGTTTTGTGAACCTGTTGTGTGGCATATTTTCTTAGATTGAGTCAAACGGAACTCCTCTGTAATTGTTGCTGGTTTCTTGGCTACCTTTTTCAATACTGATGGACCTTTCAAAATATTAACTGGCACAGGATTTGCTTTTACTTGATGCTTTTTCATTTTTTCCAGCTCCAACTTTTCTCGCTCCTGTTGACTCAAAATGGTTGATTGTCTTATTCTTTGTTTACATCTCAATGCAGGAGAAATTGGATAAGTTAATTTCAATGGAGATCGTTTGAATTTTATTAAGGGTCCAGACTTCATGTCTTTGTTGCTTATAGTACGGAATCTTTCAGGTGTTTCATTTTGAAACTTAGAAATCATCTCTGACAAACTCACAAATTGATTTGATTTACGATCTTTTATAAAACTTTTTCTGCGATATTGACATGTTAGTACTTTGGGTTGTGACTTGCCTAATAAGCATTGCTTTAGTCTGTGTGTATTAGACTGTTTTCCTGAAATTGATACAATATTATACATTAATATTTTCCCTGGTAGATTATCTTCTGAATAATTAAGACTTTCTGACTTTTCTATTGACTCATTTTTAATATTCTTTCCCTTTTTAATATCATTGATCTAAATATTTTCCAATGAAAACTTACCAACAATAGCATTCTTTGTTCCTGACATATGAATATTCTTTTTAGCTTTTTCAGGTATAGTTATTTTACCTTTTTGCTCTGTTGTTGAAACTTTAAATGCAGAAGTTAGGTCAGTTACTGATATATTCCATGTTTGATGAATTTTATTATATTTTTCATCAAGCTTCAAGTCATTCATTGCCTTGTTCAATTGATTTTCTTTTTCTGTTTTCTGTACTAGATGTTTTTTATTGTCATGAAGTACAAAGTACGCTATGTTAGTACATGTAGGAGTTTTTGGTTCTAAACTATCATCAAATTTAACATCTGTGACTGAATCCGTATTTTTACTTTCATCCTTACACAATTCAGGTAAGTCTGTCATTATATTTAAATGCATTTGAGGTTTATGCACTTCATGTTCAACTTCAAAGTAGCTGTCAGAAGGAATTTGGGGACTACGTGTTAAATCTACCCATTGGGGGGCACAGAAGTCATCCATCATATTGGAGTAATTCAAATGAACTGATTAGATTCTTAAGTAATTATTAAAGTAGGATATCACAAAACGAATAACATTCAAACATAATCTGAAAAGTAAGACGAAGATAATGAAGATAATAAAAATATTACTCACTTTGTATGTGAGGAAACGTTGATAGCACACTTTTAAAGTACGAAACGATTAAAATTTGTACACAACTTTGTATTATTGATTGTTTATCTCATTTAATAATGTTCTACCAGTTCAATAAATCATTAACTATATACAAAATTTCTTCCTTTCGAATATTTACTTTTCACAAACATAAAAAGCTTACAACTGATTAACGGGTAAGTTGATGCATTTGAGTTTGAAATTTTTAATCTTTGATTTGATTGGTTGAAAATAATGTGCATTATAAAAAAATTAAATGTCCCTATTGAGTTTACTTTGCAAATATACATCATTAACATAGGGAATATTAGTGTAACGAATGATAAAATTAATAATATTAATTCGTATAGTGTCTAAATAAAAATGTTAACATGTAATAATTAATTTTATATACAGAATTATATTATTACATATATATATAAAAAAAAGGGTAAAAGTTTATTTTTGTGACTTTATTTTAAATCTGTTTATATTGTTCCGGTTTTTTTTAAAAAGGTGCCGTATTTTAGCATCGCTACAAAATATAGACCGATGGGATTTGAAAAAGTAATGTATTTTTGCTATTTTTGTGCAAAATATAAAATTTGAAAAAACTACAGAAGCATGGACTATATTCAATGATTATAAAGTATATTATAGAGGACGAAGTTTTGAACAACTATTACTATTAGAACAATAATTTTTACTTGGCTGTAATTTCGACATACTTTCAAAAATTGTTGGTACTACTGCATTGAACTCTGTATGTGAATTGTCAACGCATGGGCTGCATTGCTACGTGCCTACTTGAGAGTAAAACTGTCGCGAGTTGCTTTGGAGAATGATTCTTGCATCATTCAACTGCCTGAGAGTTAGTGTTTCGCGACTTGCTCGCAAGTGGACACGATAATACATTACTCTCGGAGAGTTGCAAGCAGAATACGAAACAGTATCGAAGTGTTGAGAGTACTCTCGTGTAAGTAGTGTAGGAGCGGGAATACTTGAAATGATTATCGGAACGTGCGACGGATAGGCTAAACAACTATCAGTGTGAAGGACGAGTCCATCAACTAGATGCTTAGGTTAAGATTAGGTGTGAAAGATGAATAGATTCTTAGAATGTACACGATGCGTTTTGGATATGCAACATACGAATGGGTAGTGTGTATGTAAACGAATAAAAGGTGACTGAACGATGAAGAAGAAGCAGATAGTATATATTGAGAGTTGTAAAGAAAAGCAGTTGTAGCGTCGGTCAGTCAGAGAATCAAGTAATCATAGATTGGTAAAATCGTTATTAGTCATAATCGTACTTTATTTTTAATTTCTTTTTAACTTGTAATAAATATATTTTAGAATCTAACATCTTTTTCTTTTTACCAATCCATATCCCCCACAATAAGAAAAAATGTCGACTAAAAGAGCTTGGCAAAAAAATGAAATTGTAGAGTTAATTTCAATGTATAAAGAAAGATCCGTGTTGTGGAATACGAAGGACACCGAACACAGGAACCGCGAAAAAAAAACAAAAATTTTACACGAAATCGCGTTGAAGTTCAACTGCTCAGTAGAGGAAATTCAACGCAAAATTCATAATTTACGAAATCAGGTAAATATATCCAATAAAGATAATAAAATTAAATAGAAACATTATTTTATTATTTAAATTACAGATGTCACAAGAATTAAAAAAAATTAGAAAAAAAACAAAAAGAGGAAGTGGCACGGATGATGTTATAAATACGTGTAACTGGCCGTATTTTCAAGCTTTGCAATTTTTATTACCAGTATTGACACACAATAATACCAAATCGTCATATACAAGTGCCTCAATGTCCATTGTACGTACCGATAGTTTATCCACGTAATTATTTACTGTGAATGTTAATTATATATATATATCGATATTGCCATAAAACTTCACCGACCGGCGTCATGAAAAAATCTCTAAACTCGTCTCTTACTACTTTCTCCGATATTGCATAATTGTTCCGGTTTCCAATATCCAGTGGTAAGAAAACATTATCTGGTGTATTTTCATCCCGCCAATTACCTAATATTAATTGATGAGAGCATTCGTCTTCGGTGTCCATTAGTCCTGGATGTAAATAATATTTTCGTGAGGAATTTGAAGACAATAAAAAATTATGTATTGCACATGTTGCTAACCTCCGGTTCTAGATTTATGACTCTTCGTAGAATTCGAAATTTATTGGCAATTATACCAAATGAATTTTCTGCTATTCAATGTGCTCTCGATAATCTATAATTAAATATTCGATTTGGTGCCGGTTGGTCGTGGAATGGATAGGGTTTTAAAATATATCGTTTCATTGGAAATGCACCATCAGTGATGAAGCAGTAGGGTACAGGTATATTTCTAATTGGTAAAGGTTCAGCAATGGGAAGGGTTATCGTGCCCTCTTCAAGTCCCTTACTTAGGGAACAGTTTTGAAATACTCGGCCATTGGAAATTCTTTCGTTGCATCCCGCATCGACGTAAATAAATTTGTAATCTGCATCAACAACAGCTAATAACATAATACTGTAGGTTCCCTTATAATTGTAGTAATAGCTGTCACTATTTCTCGGAGCTTGTATTACTATATGCCTTCCATCAATGACTCCTAAACAATGTGAGAAATTCCATCGATCATAGAAAGCTTTAGAGCATTCTAATCATTCAGTAGTCGTTGTTGGAAGCTGGAAAGCAATATCACCGTGATTTTATTTTATTATATATGCTTTTTAATCAATGAATTAAACAAATTAAATTATTAAAACAAAAAATTTTATTTTATCATAAATTATCTGCATAAAAATTTGATCGTTTCAGAAGAAAAATGAAGAATCCGATGTGTATGCGATTAATAGCGAAAAGAATGTAAAAGACGATGATAAAACAAATAAACCGATGCAGGCACAGAAGAAGCGTAAACGTGAAAATGATATTGAAGAGCAATTATATCAATCGGCTTTAAAAAGAATACAACAAGGATCTGACGAGTATGACAAATTTGGCGAATATGTAGCACTGGAGTTGAAATCGTTAAGATCGGATTACAATAAATCACGATTAAAACATGAAATACGAAAAGCAATTGTTCGAATTGCCGAAGAAGATCTTTATGGTTCATGTTCAACATTGTCAACTTCAACACCACTACCATCACCTTCTATTCAAGAAGAATATTATCAACAATCTTCCCAATCGTGCTAAAACTTTATTACCCCATTTCATCATTAATTTATAATTTTACGTGTACCATTGCATATCATTGATTTCTTGTATTTTGAATTTTATGATATAGTTTACATGTTGGCGGCAGATTGTATATATTTACCTTCATATATTTGTTTTTAAGAGTTCTGTAAATATCTGGAGTTACTTCCTTTATAATTCGCCCAATTGTACATTTTGAAATACGAAATAAACTCTGAAGACTACTATATGAATCTCCTACAAATTATAATGTATATATATCTTTGCAAATGCATACATAATTTTACACGTTTCTACTTAAGATTAACCAACCTGTAGCTAGAAAGCTTAAGGTTACTATTACGCGTTCGGACACAGAGACAGCATCCCTTAATTTTATATCCTTTTTAGTTATTAATGGTCCAATTGCATTTATTATATATTGCATACGTATTGCATCCTTACGCACAAAATTACCGAATTGTCGAGAGTCTTCAATTTTAAATTCTCCTATTAAAGTAGAACATGCTCCTAATGTTCGTCTACGGTGTAACCATTGCTTCAACCAGATATTTCTCTTTCTTCGTTTACTTTTCTTCCTTTTAAAAATATGGCAATGATAAGAGCACACAGTTTTCTCACATTTATGATCGTAATGTTACCTACGTTGTTACCAAACTGCAGGGAGAAAAGCTAACTGGCTCTCATATGAGACGAACGACTCTCAAATCGATACAGTTCCGAGAGCTCTACATGAGAGTAAACTCGCGGTAAGTTTTCTATCGCTTACCTGAGAGTAAAGAGAGCTCTAAATGAGAGTTAAAGAGTTCTATACGAGAGTAAAGAGATATTGCTCTCAAATAGACACATAACTTGAGAGTACTCTCAAGAGTAACTATCGCGAGAAGCTTTCAAACGGACACGTAGCTTAACGTCCACAGACTCTCTGACAAGAAGAAGTTCAATCTTTTATCATTTGGTGATGCAGCAGAGGAAGATGAAGAAGAATCTGTGATGTTAAATAGAAAGGTTAGTGATCAGGGCAAATCAGAACATGATCATTTAACTGATTCAAAATTAAGCTCAGAACCAGCAGTTGTACTACCTGTACTTGCAAATAAAAAAAGGAAGGAAGACTGTAGTAACGATTGGGAAAGTGACGACGAAGTAAAAACTCGAGAAGAATCATATGTTATAAACAAAAAGGAAGATAAGTTATAAACAATGAGAAGAAACTTCTATAACTCTTATTAATTTTATAATAATGTAATTAATTACTCTATATTATTTTTGATATGTATGTATTGTCGTTAATTACTATCAGTGACCCCGTATGATCCTGATTAATTAACATATAAGAAGTGATAAGGATAGTTTAACACAGCGATGCGTGTAAGAGAATACTTCGATTTGGAAATTTTGTAATTGGTAATATTAATTTTGCATAAATTACTGAATTTATTGTTAATCACTAATTGATATTGTTAATAGCAAATTACCTGAGTCATAAATTTAAAATAAAAGTAGAGAAAGTCAAGGAAATATCGACTATTATAGAGAAAAAGTAATTATTAAGGAAACCGACAAAATTCGAAAATCCTCCAACGATTTCGGCAATCAGTTGGGGGTCATATATAAAGGGCACCTCGCGACTTCTCAGGTCTTTGCCGGTTGGAGCTCAGACGGGACACTTCGGGGTTTGGACTAGGCGCTTCCGGGACTTCACCAGCGGGACCTTGGCAACCTTCCCGAGGATCAGAGGGGAGCAGCTGGCTTTGGCAGGTGCGCTTTGGTGAGTCAATTTTAATAACGTCTTTTGTTTCCGGTTTTATTTCCTGGTTTTATTTTCTGGTTTCTATTCAAATATTTCGTTATTGTTTTTAATATCTCTCATCGTTCCCCTTACTAATCAGTTCTTTTCCAGGACTAATCTACATATTTCCTTTATAGGTTTGTTATCTGAATTTGTTGGTTTGAACTCGAGTTCATTTGTCGTTTTGACTTTTTGCTGATAACTTCTAAGACTTCGAAGAGGGGGTCGGAGGAGTGGTTGGAGGTGGCATTCGGGCGGTGTGGCGGTGAGGTGGAGGTGGATGGTCATTGTCCACTCCACCTATACATCACCCCCCATCCTTGTTTTCTTTCATAATCTTCTTCCTTTTATTTTCGGATTCTTTCATCGTTGGTTTGTCATCTCTATTTCGGTTTTATTTCATCGAAGGGTTGTTTCTGTCTCATCGATGGGCTGTTTCTGCTTCATCGATGGATTGTTTCTGTCTCATTGATGGATTGATCCTTCCATTTGGTTAACCTTTACTATTCTATTCGTCTCGCTTCTATTTTCTTTCCTCCTTCCTATTTTTTTTTCTGGTTTATATTTATACTAATATATTTTGTTTTCAGGTTTTCAGGTTTTTAGGTTTCTTCTCCAGATTTAATCTGGAGGACATCGTGGGATGCGAGCGCTTAGATTTAAGTATCTATAAATAGTTAAGATAGATTACTAGGTTAAGTTAGATTACTAGGTTAAGATAGATTACTCGGTTAAGTTAGATTACTAGGTTAAGACTCATGTGAGCGGTATCTGGACAAAGGTAAGCTACCTAACTTGGAGCGAGCATATCTATTTTGTATTCCTTCTCGTTCACCAAATAGAACAAAATTGTTCTCGCGACAACCGCGATCGTTCATAAGTACGGACTAGCCTACGCGACGTACTCCCGTGTACTCGATAATTCTATGCTACTTAACTCATCGTCACGACTCGTCTCCGACACTCATTCCAGGCACTGTCAATCCCGTCATGCATCGGGTTCCAGAGTGACTCTCGGGTCACTGTTTCTTCTGGAG